TGTTTCATGAAAATATTTTCAAAAAAAAAAAAAATGAGAAGATGGCTGTCCTATTTGTATGTTTCGAATTTCTTGGTCTGAATGATGTCATTTTTTTGCTTTTTGTGACAAAGGAGATGAAATACAAGCCAACTTAAAATGAATGAATTTTTGTTCTTGCATAGCAAAAGCTTGCATTGCAACCTCAGTTGTAAGCTTGTTTATTAACAATTGTTAATAAAGGTATGAAAAAAAATTCTAATTTTGGAATAGAACATTTTTTGTTCAATATAAATATTTCGAAAATCTTGAAAAATGTTTAATATTAATATTAGTCTTTGCATTTTTTTGAAAATCTTATTATTATTATTATTTAAATTTGTCAAACGCACTAACCTACAGTTTTTCAAAAAAGGAAATCTTCTACAGTCTGCTTTATAACTTTGCAAAAAAAAAAAGCCTACTAGTAATTATATATACAATGGCACATTATGCTGCAAATATTATTGTTGTTTTCCAATCAACTAAAACTCTAACCCTCTTTTTTCTCTATTCGCCCATTGCTTTCGACACACTTCAGAAGTTCTGTTTTCAAAATTTTAGCTTAATTTATATTATGCCGATCATTCATATATTAGATCGATAACTCTTGACAGAATAGAGTTTAATTGTGGGCTTGTTACTTAAGTTACAATGAACTTAAATGAAACATTTTATTATATAAAGTGAGGAAAACGACTAACTACAACATCAATTCAAATTGCCTCCATTGTATTTTTTTTAGGCTTAGTAGTTCTGTTATAAGAGTTTTTTCCCGTTGTGTAATCAATAATTTTTATTATTTTTTCTTCAAAGTTTTTATTTATAACTTCGTTATACATTCCAAGTAAATTAAAGGTTCTTTTTCTCATAGTTTCGTTTAAAGGTTGTTATTTATTTTTATTTAACTTGTGATTTTTTTTAAACTTGTGATCATGTGACCTTAAAGTTGAGAAGACGCTCATAAAAATTAGCCAATAATTGACAACTTTGAACGGTTATAACTCTTTGAAGAATAGAGAGAAATACAGGCTCCAAGTTAAGTTAAAATGTAAAGAGGAATAGAACAATAAAGCTGCAGAGTTCTTTTTTATTTTAATGTAAATAATGGCATTTATTCTAAGCTAACAAAGAGTTGTGAATCGGGGTTTTATGCAGAGATTTAAATAATAGTGTTTAAGACACAACTTTGTATTTAATGATTAAATACATATACGCTGATTTTGTTTGATCCCAAAATTCAGTACGGTATGATCATAACATTATGAATACTTTATACTAGCGAAAACCCATTGGTTTTGAGGTGAGGCCATTGATTTGACAGGCTGTTGAATTATAAAATAGTCTTTTTAGCGGAGCAAATAAATTTTTTTAGGGTTAATTATCATTCTACTGACCAGTTTACACATTAAAATGCTCGTGTTTAACATCGAGACTAATGATGTATGATGAAACTTTTGACTTTAGTCGTTGATGTGACTAAAGTATTGACTAAAGGTAGTTTTTCATCAAGGTCATTTTGATGATTTGAGTAAAGTAAAAGCCCTTGATGTAATTAAAACCACTTGACGTACTTGACGTAAGTAAATAACTCTTGATACGTGATACAAGCAGCAAATAATGATAATGATAAAATTAATAATTGAAAGTTTCAAATTATGTAAAAATGTGTATCTGGGGATGAATAAAGAATTATTATATCATTGTATGCACATTGCAATGATGCAAGAAGAATAATTATCATGGAAAGTTATAATTCGAATTAGAAATTTTACTTCATTAAATTAATATTACTTAACTTTTTTTTCTGTATCTTTTCTTTCAAAATAAAAAGGCCACTCCTTTTTTTACAAATTTAAACCATTCTTTTATTATTACATTTTATAAAATGTAAAAAATCAAATTATCTTTACATACATATGAGTTGTGTTAAATTGATTAACTACAGAATTACGTGCAGTACGTAGTAATACGCAATAATGTTAATAATGCGCTTGAGCTCTCTTTAGTGCCTGAGTTTGAAGCAACATAATTTGATCAATATTGGTACTCAGAACGACCTTTACATAGCACATAAGACAGGATTTGATACATATTTTGTAAGTTTTAATTTTGTATTCTATTTTTTAAATTTCAAAGAATTTATTTTATTGTTGAATCATGATAAATCCGGTTCCGTTTACTTCGTCGAAAATCATTTCGTCGACACCATTTCGTCGAAAGTTTGTTTCATCGAAAATTGTTTCGTCGACAATCACTTCGTCGAAAATTGTTTCGTCGGCTTATGTATCGTACTAATGATAAATGAGGTGATGATAGTGATGGCAACAATATCGACATTGAATATTTTAGCATTGATAATAATTATTGTTTTTT